GCAGTGCTGGGGTGAGGAGGAGTACTATCGAGGTGGAGCTTGTAGCGGCTGTGAAGAGGAACCCCTCCTCACAGTTACAGAACAGAAAGGAATACTTGTGGTCACAGGCCAGGAAAGGAGTAAACACTTCGCCCCTTATCATACCACCTTGGAAGAACTGAAAATTTACAGGTCTCTACAAGTAACTCTGAAAACAGCTGTACAAACCCCTGAAGCTTGGGACAGTATATTCTCCACATTGGAAGCGGACTCTTAACTTAGACTTAACAAAGAGTTTAAAACTCAAGTAATTGGCCGGGATCATGAGCAAGCAGCGCAAAAAGAGTCAGACTATATTATCTTACTTTGGTGAAAAAGAAGATCAAAATATACAACCAGAAGAAGACAACAAAGTCAAAGCTCCTACATCCAAAGCCTCCAAGAAAAATATGAATCAGTCCCAGGCCTTGGAAGAGCTCAAAAGGGATTTTGAGAAGCAAGTAAGGGAAGTAGAGGAAAAACTGGGAAGAGAAATGAGAGTGATGCAAGAAAATCATGAAAAACAAGTCAACAGCTTGCTAAAGGAGACCCAAAAAAATACTGAAGAAAATAACACCTTAAAAAATAGCCTAACCCAAATGGCAAAAGAGGTCCAAAAAGCCAATGAGGAGAAAAATGCCCTAAAAAGAAAAATTGGCCAAATGGAAAAGGAAGTCCAAAAGATTACTGAAGAAAATACTTCCTTAAAAATTAGAATAGAGCAATTGGAAGCTAGTGACTTTATGAGAAATCAAGACACTGTAAAACAAATCCAAAAGAATGAAAAATTAGAAAACAATGTGAAATATCTCATTGGAAAAACAACTGACCTGGAAAATAGATCCAGGAGAGAGAATTTAAAAATTATTGGACTATCTGAAAGCCATGATCAAAAAAAGAGCCTAGACATCATCTTTCAAAAAATTATCAAGGAAAACTGCCCTGATATATTAGAACCAGAGGGCAAAACAGAAACTGAAAGAATTCACCGATCTCCTCCTGAAAGAAATCCCCAAAGGAAAACTCCTAGGAATACTATAGCCAAATTCCAGAGTTCCCTGGTCAAGGAGAAAATATTACAAGCTGCCAGAAAGAAACAATTCAAGTACTGTGGAAACACAATCAGGATAACACAAGATTTAGCAGCTTCTACATTAAAGGACCGCAGGGAATGGAATATAATATTCCGGAGGGCAAAGGAGATAGGATTACAACCAAGAATCACCTACCCAGCAAAACTGAGTATAATTCTTCAATGGACATTCAGTGAAATAGAGGACTTTCAAGCATTCCTGATGAAAAGATAAGAGCTGAATAGAAAATCTGACTTTCAAATACAGGACTGAAGTGGAACATGAAGAGGAGAACAGGAAAGGGAAATCATAAAGACTTATTAAGATTGAACTGTTTACATTCCTGCATGGAAAGATGATATTTATAACTCATGAGAACTTTGTCAGTATTAGGGTAGTTGGAGGAAAAAAATTATATGTATGTATATATATAGATATAGATAGATAGACAGAGGGTACAGGGTGAGTTGAAGATTAAGGGGTCTTATCTGGAGATTAAAATTAAGGGATGAGGAGGATTATATTATTAATTATCTAAAAAAACTCTTACAGTGGAGGGGAAATGGGGAAGGTGAGAAATGAGTGAATCTTATTCTCATAGGATTTGGCTTAAGGAGGGAATAACATACACATTCAATTGGGTATGGAAATCTGTCTTAACCTACAGGAAAATAGGGAGAGAAGGGGACAAGAGAGCAGGGGGGATGATAGAGAGGAGGGCAGATTGAGAAAGGATGTAATCAGAAGTAAATACTTCTGAGGAGGGACAGAGTCAAAAGAAAGAATAGAATAAATGGGAGGGCAGGAAAGGATTAAGGGAAAAAGAGTTAGTTTTTCACAACATGTCTACTATGGAAGTGTTTTGCATAACTGCACATGTACATCTTATATTGAGTTGCTTGCCTTTTCAATGAGGGTGGGTGGGGAGGGAGGAAGAAAGAAAATCTGAAACCTAAAGTTTTAAAAACATATGTTTTAAAAAAATGTTTTCACATGCTACTGGGAAGTAAGAAATATAGGAAATGGGGTACAGAAGTCTATCCTGCCCTACAGGAAAATAGAAGGGGAAGGGGATAAGAGAAGGGGGGGGAAGAGATAGAAGAGAGGACAGACTAGGGGAAGTGCATTCCATCTTGGGGTGGGGGGAGGGGTGAAATGGGGTGAAAATTTGGAACTCAAAAACTTGTGGAAGGGAATGTTGAAAACTAAAAATGAATAAATTTATATAAAAAAAGTTTCTTGTCACTTTGGAGTGTACAATGAAAGCAACTTTTTTATTTGTATCTTCAAAAGAGGCAGATGGTGGCCCAGTGGATAGAAGGTGGGGCCTGGAGTCAGGAACTAAGCTCAAATTCAGCCTCAGACACTTATTAGCTGTGTGACCTTGGGCAAGTTACTTAACCTCTGTCTGCCTCAGTTTCCTCATCTGTAAAATGAGGATAATAGTACCTACCTTCTAGGGCTGTTGTGGGGATCAAATGGGAGAATAATTGCAAAGTGTTTATCACAGTGCCTGGGATACTATAAATGCTACATAAATATTAGCTATCATTATTATTCAAAAAGTACCTGTTGGCCATCTTTCCATTTAGATGCGAATTCCTTTTGTCTTCTGGTTCCACTTATAATGAAAATGTGAATTATAACATGGCTTACTTCTTCCAATAACACACTAATTTGTTGATCACTATCCAATGATTTCATATTTAAAGCAGAAATGGTTAATTATTACATGATCATTTAAAAACTATGTTATTCTTGCCTTCCTCTGCCCCCTTCTGTTTTCTTCTCTGCCATTATCACTGCTGGATGGGAGCTGCAGATGACTGAAGGCCATTTAAAAATTTTTCTTTGTTTCATGGGCTACCATGATCAATGTAATATATTTATTCAGGCTAGTCCTCCTCAGTCTGTCGTCAAAATCATACCTGAAGCCTTTCTGGGTTGGCAGAACTTCTAAAAGAACCTGTGCTGCAGTAACAGCAATACTGTGAAAGACTTAACTACTGACCAAGACAACGATGCACAAAAATTTTAAAGGACTCATGATGAAAAATGCCATCAACCTCCAGAGAGGGAACTGTTGTTCAATCTAAGTGCAGATTGAAGGATATTCTTTTTTCCTGTTTCTCTTTTTTTTTTTTTAATTTTTAGGCAGTTGGGGTTAAGCGACTTGCCCAAGGTCATACAGCTAGTAAATATCAAGTGATTGGTCTGAGGTCACATTTGAACTCAGTTCCTCCTGACTCCAGGGCCGGTGCTCTATCCACTGCACCACCTAGCTGCCCCCTTTTTTCTTGTTTCTATTTCTGGAAACATGGCTAATGTGGAAATATTTTGCATGACTTCATACATATAACGGGTATCATATTTTTACCTTCTTCATGGGTGGAAAGGAGAGAGGAAGAGAATTTGGAACTGAAAATAAAAATTAAAAATTAAATTAAAAAAAAAACAAAAAAAAAGAACCTATGCTCCAGACATAGCCTTCAACAACCCAGCATCACCCTCATGCCCTCTAACAGGCATCAAAACAGGGCATTCTTGAAGGTTATAAGGAAGAAGAAGATGTGCACATTAAAAAAAAATGCTGAACATAGAACTATGGACTAAATGAAGGTGGAGAAAGAGGAGGAGAAAAAACACAGACACAACAGGAGAACCAGGAAAGTTTTGTGCCACAGAAACCAAAGGAGAAGATTTCAAGGAAAAGTCTATACTAAAAATGAATACAAATATTAGATTCTTCATTCAGTTACAAAAAAGGAACACACATAGAAGCCTGAAAAAGATAATTTTATGAAAAATAACAGGTCAACAGTTATAAGCACTGTAGAATAGTTAGAAGGATTCATAGGCCAAGAAAAGAGCACTGAAACTGGCACATAGGTCCATCACTCATCTTTAAGCCAGCAGGTCAACAGAATAGCAGAAACAAAAGGCAGACTAGACTACAGAAGTTAAAATGAAAATGAATAGATAGCAACCTGAGATAGAAGCGGTAGATATATTCAAAGAGTACAGAGGAAAGGAGGAAGGAGAGACTGAATATTAATTAGAATGGATAGTGAGATCAAGTGAGTCTTTTTTGAGGAGACCTGAATATATCTGAAGGTAGAAGATAGCCTTTGAGGAAGGAGATATTAAAGAGATAGTTGTAAGAAAGAAGGCCTAAAGGAAATATGGAAGAATAGGTTCAAAGTATAGACGGAGGGGTAAGTTTTAATAAGGAAAGGCAACTCTCTTTTACACAACCAATCTGATGTACCAATTATTCCTTTACCAGGAATAATGCAAACCAGGCCAGGTTTCTTAGCCTCTCCAGAATGAAATTGCACTGGCCTCTGGATACAGGAAAGCAAGACAGAGGAAAATACCTCTCTGTATTTGCCTCCCCAAAGCATACACAAATTTGGACTATCCTTCTTAGAAATCTCATCAAGTGATCTACTGTGAATAACTTAGCTATTCTCAGCAATATGATCCAAGACAGTTCCAAAAGACTTATGAAGAAAGGTGCTGTCATCTCCAGAGAAAGAACTGGTGCAGCCTAAATAGAGATTGAAGATACCTTTTTTTCATTTTCTTTATTTTTCATAGTGGTTTGGTTTTTGGGGGGTTTTTTTGGTCTGTGTTTTCTTTCACAGTATGACTTATAGGGAAATGTGTTTTGCATGACTACATATGTATAACCTATGTCAAACTGCTTGCCTTCTCAACGAGAGGGGAAGGAAGGGAGGGACAGGGGGAATTTGGAATTTAAAATTTAAAAAAAAAAGAATGTTAAAATTGTTCTTATGTGTAATTGGGAAAAAAATAAAATACTAAATTTAAAAAAATAATCTCATCAAGGCCTGAGTATGCAGATATTGAGTCAAATTTAGGTAGAAAAGAATGCCTGTGACATACCTGAAAGATCTCCAGTGACAGAAGAGGTGCCAAAGAAGTAGCCCCGAGGTAGGCGGACTCCAGGCACATCAATGCAGTCCCTCCATTCATGTTTGCCATCAATGTCCAACATAATCTAGAAAAAGACAAAGGGATGAATCAAGGGCCCTGCCATGAAAAAAAAAACATAAAAAAGGAGAAATATAGCCCACACTTACTTTCTCCAAAGCCAACCTGTCAGGGACGGGGACTCACCGTCAGGCGCCTCTTGACATAGCGAATCACCAAGAAAGTATCATGGTTGAGATTTCGAACCATGGCTGTACAGCCACCCAATTCTGTGGGCCTCCCATCCCGCTCATGATCATAGCTGAGGGAGCCGTTGCTCACCATGGCTGAGACATACGGGAACACCCGCTGGAGAAACAATGGGGGAAAGAGAAGACCATGTAGGCAGAGATCTTTAAGGAATACATGGAGGCACATGTGCACATAAACACCCGTAGCAATGGCAAATGCAGATACAAGCAGCAGGAGCCATACAACTTCTCAGCAAACAAGGGAGGGCATCATCATAATCAACTCCCCCATTCCCATGCTTAGGCAGCTAATCAAGGTATACACTCCTGGTCTAAAAGGGAAAGGTCACTCCGCTTCATGGCACTAACTTCAACTTGTCCCCAAAATGGGATGGATCTGAATTGGTGAAAGAGAAGCTCCAAATCCTCAATCCTACCACGGTCTCCACTGGAAAAATCACTTAAGTCAACATTGCTTTGAGTACTTTTTATGCTAACCTGGTGTGCCTTGTCTTTTTATTTGTATGGTTTGTCTTCCTGATTTGACTCTAAGCTCCTCAAGGGAAGGGACTGTGCTTTTGTCTCTTGCCATCTCTGATCACATCTGTTAGAGTGGTAGGTATTCAAAAGTATCTGACAGCTGACTGATAAGTTATTCATGGAAACTGTTTCCATTTAAGATAATTCCTTCCAACTTTAATATTACGGAATACTAAAGAAGTTCAGATTTAGAGACAGTCCTGCTAGTACTAGTGTTGCTGAGCTATTACCCAGTTTGACAATATCTTATTAATGAAAACTCTCTGTTTTCTCAATCCCTTTTAAATCTTATTGATGACTAATTCTACCCACAAGATTCCCCCACAGAATGTTTTAAACACTGCTAGGTTCCTAACAACTGAGGTGCGTTCTCATCTATTGCACACTCCCTGACCTCAAAAAAAAGTTGAGAAGATGCTATTAGCTTAACACCTAAGTAATTCAACAAAGATTTCTATTAGCAATTCTTTGAATAGAGATGGTTGGATACTCACTCCAGAACAAGGCAAGTCTGGAGATGGAGAGAGGCAGGGATGATGAGATGGTTACAGAAACATAACACATGCTATATTTTGTCTGGTTAGCATCCCAGCTGGAGCTTGATGTCAAAAGTCAACATGCAGGTTTGTGCCTCAAAACAAGGCCAAGAATTAGTAGCACCTGGGACACTAACACAAATTTGATACAAGACCAAATGTTGAAGGGACATACATGGGGATGAGTGATGAGAATGGTGTGTCAAGAACTGAATACCTGGACTCCTGGAGAATATCTCCTCTTCTGTGCCTGGAGGGGTCCAGCAGTTATTACAAAAGAGAGGGCACAACAGGAGACAGGGTCAGAAAGAACTGGCCACTGAGAAAGCATGGCCAAGCTATGGAGGATGAGTACCCTAACCTCAGACTTCTTCACCTCTCTACCCACCAACCCCCCAGGATTAAGGGATTCACCAGCACATGCAGGAAGTACAAGAGAATCTAGTCCCCTCTCCTATCTTAGAGGATCAGAAAGTCTGAAGCCTTTACTGAGGTGGAAGCGGCTAAAATTAGGCTGAATTCTTCTGACCTTGAAAAGTTCTTTATTCTTTCTTTGCCCTACTGTTTCAAACCTAGGATTCCAGCCGTTGTCTAGAACACAAGGATTTCATAAGAGTTTTTTTAAAATCCTGATATCAACAAATTAAGCCCAAAGCTCTTTACACAACTGAACCCCTAATGGGCACATAGCTATGATTTTCTGTCCCACATCACTTGCACAAGGATGAAGTTCAAGTTGAGATCAGAAACCCAATGAAGGGTGGTAGAATATTTTAAAACTATAAGATAGAGGGGCAGCTAGGTGGCACAGTGGATACAGCACCAGCCCTGGAGTCAGGAAGACCTGAGTTCAAATCTGACCTCAGACATATGATACTCACTATCAGTGTGACCCCGGCCAAGTCACTTAACCCCAACTGCCTTGCCAAAAAACAAAAAACAAAAAAGAACCCAAAACTATAAAATAGAGATCTTCTCAGGCCATTTAAACATGACATAAGTATCCATAGACTTGATTCTTCTCCTACTTTGACATGGACAATACCTGCTGAGATGCCAAAAACTCCTTAAATCAAACTTCAAGGACCTCTATACTCTACACTGGCATTCAGAAAAAGTCCAGAGTGAGATGCAGCAACTGGTACATATAAAGAAGTATAAAAACAAATAATATAATACCTATGAAAGCAGGAGCATTATTTCCCCAGGAACATAGTCGTTTTAAGTAGAGATAAGGATAAAAAGAAAGTATAAAAGTCTGAAAGGGGATACTGATAATAAGGAGTCAAAGGATCAAGAGAATCAAGTAACTTTAATGCAATAGTACCATGTTTTTTGATAGGCATGCACGAATGCAAATAGGTAAACATGTATACATTCATGGTTAAGAAAAATGGATGTGTGTATATGTGCATGAGTATATAGATATAATATGAACACATACACAGGCACTTGTGATCATAGTTTTTCTTTTTCTACAAAGAAATTATTAGTCATGGGAAAAGTCAAAAAGCAGAGTTTAAGTGTGCAGCAACATGGAATATGCACTTAATAAATACTTATTAATTTCTTGATCTATATGAACTTGAAAGTATTCTTAATTTAGGACACTAATAGTCTAAAGTTTCCCAGAACAAGTAAACTTGATTTATTAGAAGGCTTGCTTGCAAGGTGACTTTTTTGTTTTAGGTGGTTTCCATAGAAATATCACTTTCCCCTTGAGACTCCATATATGATGAAGAAGCAGAGAGCATTTCTTAAAATCAGCAGTGCATTTTTATAGGTATGTAATATGAATAATCTATGTAAAAGCTAGTTAGCTCTACAGTTAAAAATACTGTTATCCATGGGTACTAGTAGGTTATTCATAATGCAACAATAAGAATCTTTTAGAGGAGAATCCCATAGCCTATCAGGCCTAGGGTAACAGCTGGTAGTGAACATACCTATGATATATGACATTGCTAATAACATGAAAATAAGAGGCATTCTCAGTTTTATTATGGTGCAAAGGTAGAAAATGAATGATTTATATTTGACCATAACTCTAAAAAAATAAAAGTATTAGATTTGCTAAAGAAAATCATTCTAATGGAATCCTTGACTTGAAATGGAATGTAACGACTACACATGTATAATCTATAACAAATTGCTTGCCTTCTGGGGAGGGAGGAAGGGAGAGAATTTAGAACTCAACGTTTTAAGAGAGAATGTTAAAAATTGTTTTTACATGTAACTGAGGAAAAATAAAATAATAAATAAAGTTTCAAAAAAAAAAAAAAGAAATGGGGGGCAGCTAGGTGGCACAGTGGAAAGAGCACCAGCCCTGAAGTCAGGAGGACCTGACTTCAAATTCGGCCTCAGACCAAACACTTGACACTTACTAGCTGTGTGACTCTGGGCAAGTCACTTGGATGGAAGGAAGGAAGGAAGGAAGGAATGGAATGTGAGATGGATGAACAGAAGAAAAAATTCATAAAGGAATTTTCTCAAAGGTATGGCTCTCAGAGTAGGTGATGGTAAGGTGCTAACAATGACATTCTACTTTGAAAGCTTAACAAAACTTTTTAATTTCAAACTACTGTAATTTAGATTTTTTTTAATTTAGAAAAAAATTAAGGTACCAAAAATGAAGCTAAAAGGAGTAAACTCAAGGGACAGTGATATAACCGGGGCAAGTACTCCCTATTCAACACAAGGAAAAGCAATTTGGCAAAAATCAGGTTCACACTGAACAATTTTTGCCATACCACAATAAGCTCAAAATAGATATGTAACCTAAATATAAAAGGTCACATCATTAAAAAAAAAAGTAGAAAAGAATAAAAGGAAGAGAGAAATACTTAACCAATCAAGGGATAAAAGTGATCACAGAAGATAAAACAGGAAATTTTGATTTCCTGATATTAAAAAGCTTTTGTGGAAACAAAGTCAACTTGGGTAAAACAGGAGAAGCAGTTAACTGTGGGAAAAAAAATCTTTGCAACAAATATCTCTGATAAAGTTTTGATATCCCAGATATATAAAAAATTGATTCAAATATATATGAACAGAAGAATAGGGAGATGGTACAGTAAGAAGCAATACAGTTCAGCTCTCTCACCCAAATACTCCAGCAATCATTAAGAAAGAACACCAGATGGGTCACCAGATGATTAACAAGAGGAGGATTAGACATTTTCTCTGATCCCCACGACCTCTCAAACCTCTTCAAAACAGAATTTATGCCCCCAAGATAAAGCAACTTCAGCTGTCTCCATGCTCTGGGACATCCAGAATCCAAAAGAAAGTTAAAAAAAAAAAAGCACCTGATTGTTGCTCAATCAGCACCTTTCCCCCACCTCCCATGCTACCTGCAGTGAGGCCCCTCTAGCAGACCCAAAGACCTGACACAAGCTTACAACAAAACCCATCCCCAAACCTTCTCCTCCTCCTCCTCCCTACTTCCAGAACTATAAAGAACTCAGATCCAAGCTGCAGAAGTTTGTCCAGGCCACACAACACCAGCACTTCAAAGCTCTGAACTGCTGGCACCTGTGAGGCAGCTAGGTGGCGCAGCGGATAGAGCACCGGCCCTGAATTCAGAAGGACCTGAATTCAAATTCGACCTCAGACACATAATACCTACTAGCTGTGTGACCCTGCACAAGTCACTTAACCCCATTGCCTAGCCAAAAAAACAAAACAAAACAAAAAAAATTAACTGCTGGCACCTGGGGAATAAACCTCCTTGAACTGCTAGGGCAGACAATCCCTACCAAAGCACACAGAAGAATTATTTAGATTCAATTACAAAGTGTTCCTTAAAGAAATAAAGAATAAATTAAATAGAAGAATATTCAGTGTTCATGACTAGGCCTTGCCAATGTAATAAAAATGACAATATTACCAAAATTAATTTACATTTTTAATGCTATACCAATCAAATCACCAAGGGAATACTTTATAGAACTAGATAAATAACAAAACTCACTCAGAAATACAAAAGATCTAGAATGTCAAGAGAAATGCTGAATGAAGTAGGGATGAAGAAGGAACAGTACTTCCAGATCTCAAACTATTACAAAGCAGCAGTCATCAAAACTGTCTGGTATTGATAGAAAACAGAGAGAAAGATCAATGGTACATCTTAGACAAGACAGAATCAGAAAGAACAGAACTCAATAACCTGATATTTGATAAAGTGGAAAACAAATTACTGAGGAAAAAACTGCTTATTTGATATAAACTTCTAGGGAAAAAAATGAAAAGCAGGCTGGCAGAAATTAGACAGCTTATACCACATATCACAATACATTATAAACAGAAATATGATCTTAATATTAAAGATCATATTATTAAAAAATTAGAAGAAAAACAGATCATATACCTCTCAGAGCTACGGATAAGCGATGTATTCTTAACCAAACAAGAGATGGGGGCAATTACAAAAGATAAAATAGTTAACTTTGATTACTTGAAACAGAAAAGCTTCTACACAGATAAAATTAATGCACTTAGGATAAGAAGGAAAGTCATTGAATGGGGAAAAATCTTTGTATCAAATTTCTCTGATAAGAGTTTGGTACCCAAGATATAGCAACAACTAGTAGATATATATGAGATTAACAGCCATTCTTTAATAGATAAGTGGTCAAAGGATATGAAGAAACAGTTCTCAAAAGAACTGTGACATATTCACAACCACATGAAAGAATGCTCCAGGTCACTAATAATAAGACAAATGCACATCAACACAATCCTGAGGTTTTACCTCACACACTGCAAATTGGCAAAAAATGATCAAAAAATGGCAACAGTCAATGCTGGAGGGGTTGTGGAAAGACAACAGGTACCCTGCTGATGGAGCTCTGAAATAGTACAACCATTTTAGAAAACATTTTGGAATTACACAAATAAAGTAACTAAAATGTCTATGCCCTTTGAACCATAGGCTCCATTACTGGGCTTATACACTAAGGAAGCCATTGATAAAAAAAAAAATGTCTCCATATAACTCCAAAATATTTGTAGTAGCACCTTCTGTGATGGCTAAAAATTGGAAACAAAGTAAATATCCATCAACTGGGGAATGGCTAAACAAATTGCAGTAGATAAATTTACACTGGAATATTACCACACTGCAATAGTGAGATGCATGGAAAAACCATATGAAATGGTGCAGGGTGAAATAAGTAGAGCAAAGAAAACAATATACACACACTAAAAAAATAAAAGTAAATGTAACAAAATTATAAAGTTCAAGCAGGA